GGAGGAGCTTTAAGGTCCCTTCCCACCCAATTCATTCAGTGTTTCTGTGATAATAACTCGGTTGTGTGGAGCTCGGAGCAGAGGCTGCTGTGGGTTCACGTGGGTCACCCTGGGTAGGGAAGGAAAGGGCGGCTATGGGCTCTGTTCCTCAGGGCTCTGCTTCCCTTCAGCTGAGCTGTGTAAAACAGATGGAAATCAAACCCCTACACATCTCCTCTGCCCGCAGGCCTTGCTCAGAGATGGGGTCCTTCATTTGCTCTGGTTTTGAGGAGTTTTAACTGTTTTTCAGTCCCAAGGCCTCGAGTCACATCTCGGGGCTGTCCCCAGTAGATCTGGGGGTGCTGCAGCTCAGCTCCAGAAAACAGGGCCACCAAATAACCCAAATTCCTCTGGTGTTTTGGGTCTGATCTCTCCTGCTTGCTCCTCTCTGCTTGCATTGGTCTCCTGAACGCATCCTGTCGCCTTTGAGCCCGGGGCCGCGGTGTTTCGGGGAGATAAAGCCATCGCGTGTCACTTTACAAAGAGCCCCAGGCCGCCGCTGTGGAAATGTAAACGGCTTTGGGGATTAATAATAAATGAAAGTCTTCTCTCGGCAGCGTGCAGCTTGGCGTGACCAGCGGGAGAACAAGCGGAGCTCCCGTCTGCGGGGTATTAATTTGGAAAACAGGTCATCAACTTGGCTTTTTCCCTTTCCTCCGCTACCAGGCAATGCGGGAGGCTTTGAAAGGGAGCTGATTTGGTGTGAAATGGAAATTAAGCCACTCTGATCGTGTCGTGAGGCGCAGTGAGGCCCCGGTAGAAATGAGAGCGGAGCAGCCCCCGTGTTACGTGCTGTGGTGTTTAATTGCCGAGGGCGCCGCTCCTTCGAGTATCACCTGGCCTGGGCATTTCGGTTGTGAGCAGCAGCATCTGCAGGGTTTCTTGTCCAGTATCCTGCGTTTTTGGTGTATTTGAGTTGGTTTATTTTCATAAAGCCACATTTTTAAAGCCTCAGCGCCCTCCCTGGCCGCTGATTTAATCCGTGGGTGACCTGAAGGGATAAATCCAACCGGGTTTTGCAGGTGAGGGGCACCAAGGGGGCTCTCAGGATGAGCCTTGCTTTGGGTTTTAGCCTGGAGAAGAGAAGGCTGAGGGGAGACCTCATCACCACCTCCAACTGCCTCAAGGGAGCTTGTGGAGAGGTGGGTGCTGGGCTCTTCTCCCAGGTGATGGGGGATAGAACAAGGGGAAACGGCACCAAGCTGTGCCAAGGGAGGTTCAGGTCAGAGATAAGGAGGAAGTTCTTTCCTGAGAGGGTCGTCAGAAGCTGGACCAGGCTGCCCAGGGAGGTGGTGGAGTCACCATCCCTGGATGTGTTTAAGGAGCAGGTAGACGAGGTACTTAGGGATATGGTTTAGGGGGGGTGTTGTGCTCCCAGGGTTTTTCCCACCGGAGCCATTCTGTGATTCTGGGTTCCTGGGTATTTTCATGCACCCCCCAATTTTTTGGGGTGCTGGCAGCCTGCAGCAGGGAGCGCAGCCATTGGGGACCCCCAGCTCCTCATTTGTGGCCCTGCTCGCCCAGGGCTGGCAACTGGACTGGACGAAGGTGAGGTTTTGCACCAGCAAGGTGTAGATCTGGTGTGAAACCGAAATTCGGCTTTACCTGTGTGGACAGACCCCACCAAACAGCACAGCACGGGCGGGACCTTCCATTATAATTTAATTTGGTGCTGGTTTGGGTACTCTGACCCAGAGGACGCCACCAGAGACACCTACGCTCCTTTTCGGGGCCATGCTCTGCCTCTCTTGGCCTCAATCGTTTCAGCTGTGAGCACCCGGAGCACTCAGTGAGCCTGGGGGTGTGGGATTTGGTGTTATCCCCCTTAAATCTCAACCCTTAGAGAGCAAAACCAACCCTCGCAGTGCCCTGGGGTGGCTCGAAATAGATATTTTTGGGATCTGCGCATAGCAGGAAAGAGCCGGCGCGTTGGTCTTCACGGAGGTGGTACATCTCATTAACTTGGGCTATAATTAAGCTGGTTTTTTTGCCAGATTTTCTTTCTGGGAGCCATGGTAACCATAGGAATCGGCTGGGTTTTTTCTGTCGAGGTGGACTTTTCTGTGGTTTGTGTCTCCCACCCTGCAGCTTTGGGACCATTTGGACCATACAATGTTCTTCCCTGACTTCAGACCCTTCCTGAGCAGCAGCTCCCTGGATCCCGACAGCAGGGACAACGAGAGGGGCCACCAAGCCCACGCCGACCTCTGGGGACCGAGCCGCCCCCCGCGGTTGCCCATGACGCGGAGGTACCGCTCCCGGGGCAGCTCACGCCCCGATCGGTCCCCTGCCATCGAGGGGTAAGTGCCTGAAGTACTAAGTACCTAAGGACCCCCATGGCATCCTTCTCTCTGCGTTGGAGAGGTGTGGATTTGATGGGTGGACTGTTCAGTGCATAAGGAATTGGCTGGATGGTCGCATCCAGAGAGCAGTGGTCAGTGGCTCCATAGTGGCGCCCGGGCCAGAGGGAGGTGGGTGACAAGTGGTGTCCCTCAAGGGGCCACAGTGGGACCAGTTGTTGTGGTTTAGGACTGGGCTGGGCACTAAACCCTGCACAGCCGCTCTGTGAACCCCTCTGCACTGCCCAGAAGGGAAGAGAAAAGAGAAGAAGGGAGAGAGACTGCACGGGTTGGGAAAGAAAACAACAGGTTTAATGAAACAATAACACTGATACTACAGGATAATGATGGAAATAGGAAATAATGGAATAGATACAGACATGTACAGATATAGATACAAAACCAATGTAAAATCCTCCCCCAGTGACGATGATGTCCCCAGAGGCTCTGGGAGCACTGGAAAAGTCCCAGTGCAGACCCAGCAGCAGTGGGAGACCATGGAGATGGTGAGGGGCTGGAGCAGCTCTGCTGTGGGGACAGCTGAGAGAGTTGGGGGTGTTCAGCCTGGAGGAGAGGAGAGGAGAGGAAGGGAGAGGGAGAGGAGGCTGCAGAGGGATCTTAGAGCACCTGCCAGGACCTGAAGGGTCTGCAGGAAAGCTGGGGAGGGACTTTTGACAAGCTATGGAGTGATGGGACCAGGGGTGATGGTTTTAAACTGGAAGAGGGCAGATTTAGAGTGGATCTTGGGCAGAAATCCCTCCCTGGGAGGTGGGGCGGCCCTGGCCCAGGTTGCCCAGAGAAGCTGTGGGTGCCCCCTCCCTGGCAGTGCCCAAGGCCAGGTTGGACGGGGCCTGGAGCAGCCTGGGCTGGTGGAGGTGTCCCTGCCCATGGGGGTTGGGCTGGGGGGCTTTGGGGTCCCTTCCACCCAAACCCCACTGTGGTTCTGAATCTCCCCCTGCAAGTGTCTCCTGTCCCCATCAGCAGAAAAATGTGGCATTTTGGGAGAAACCTGACAAAACGCGGTGGTGACACTGACGGTTGGTGACCTCAGAGGCAGAAAATGCCGATTTTCACAGTGGGTGCTCCCCGCTTTGTCCCCCCCCAAGGCCCTGTGCTGGGAAAGGTGGTTTTGGCTGTAACGGTGCCAGCCCTCGCCGCAAGGAAACGAGTCCGTGCTTGGGAAGCGCAGTCATTTCCTCCCTGCCCTCCCACGCAGATGAGTTACATCCTCGGCCCTGCTGCCCCTGTCCCAGGGCTCGTCCTTCCGCAGTTACCTGGGTGTGAGGCCTGTGTTTAATCACAGCTATTAATATTTAAACATATTTAATTATATTTCATGTTTTGCCGCCCGGTCTCGCTCAGCTGTTTTGCCACTGTGTATTTATTTGCTGAACTTGCCTTTTCTTTCCTCTTTTCCTCCCGATTCCTCCCTCTTTAGGATCATCCAGCAGATCTTTGCGGGGTTTTTTGCGAACTCACCGATTCCTGGCTCCCAGCACCCGTTTTCCTGGTGAGTGCTTTAGAGCAAAGCTTTGCTCACAGCCTGGGAGCTCCATTTTTCCCAATTTGGCTTTTTTGGGAGGGTTTCGTGGGGGTGAGGCGCCCTCCTTGACTCTCTGCTCCTGTCGGCAGGAGCGGGATGCTGCACTCCAACCCTGGGGACTACGCGTGGGGACAGAGCGGCCTTGATGCCATCGTCACCCAGGTAAGGCCCTGGCTTAGGTGTGCCCCTGGTTTTGTGCTCCTCTCTGGCCAATCCTGCTGCTGGAGATGAATTTTGGGTGAGGACCAGCACAAACCATCGCTCTCTGGTTGGTGGTCATTCATCCCCGCCTCTTTAGAGCAGGGATTTGACCTCATTTGGGTGGAAATACAGCATTTTGGGTCACATTTTTGTCAACCAAGGCTTGCAGATGCCTCACAACAGCCAGAGATTCAAACCTGCAGGGATCCCTCCCCAAACC